GGGAAAAACTTTTTCACTAGGAAGGTGGTGAAGCACTGGAATGGGTTACGTAGGGAGGTGGTGGAATCTCCTTCCTTAGCGGTTTTTAAGGTCAGGCCTGACAAAGCCCTGGCTGGGATGATTTAGTTGGGGATTGGTCCTGCTTTGAGCAGGGGGTTGGACTAGATGACCTCCTGAGGCCCCTCCCAACACTGATATTCTATGATTCTATGATAGCTCCAAGCGCCTGCTGGGAATCCAACCCTTGCTGAGCCCCTGGACAGTCGGATGGACGGACGGACAGACACACAAACTCCTGGTGCTGGGGCCACCCTCACTACCTGACTCCAGCAGCACGGGTTTAACGACCTCTGGGTGGAAGAGCCGCAGAATGGGAAACCAGGGGCCAAACCACCAAAGGCAGGAGTGGCTGTAGCGCCCGATGAGCTCGTCTACGCACTGCATCCCCTCCTCCGTGTTCTGACCCTACAACGAGGAGCCATGGGTTAGCCACGGGCCAGCCGGGACTCCGGCCACGTCGACGTGCTGGGCCCAGTGCCCGACTCAGCCCACTGCAGGAGCAGCAGCTCCCCAGGCAGACGCACTGCTGGCTGTTCTCAGCGTGCCTCCCGCTTCATTTCTAATGGGGGAGGGGAGACTGGCAGACTGCCCTCATCTGGCAGTAGGTTGGACGGGACCACTTGGGGCTCCCTGTGTTGTCGCAAACAGGGGCTCCCAGCTGTTCTCTGTACAGAGCTGAATTCAGGGGCTAAGTGGTCAGCGTGCATGAACCCTCAGCCCTGGCATGAACTAGCTACATGCATTCACACAGCCCCGGCACTGCACCCCCGCCCGGCACTGCTCTGCCATCCAGCTGAGCTGAGCAGGAGACTGAGTGCTGAGCCGCCCCACTGGAGTGAGGGCTCCTGAACCCTGAAGCACCCCTGTCCTGGCACAGTGACACACAGCTCTGCTCCAGGGAGCAACTCTCACCGCTCAGACCCAGCCGCTGGCTTTGAGGACTAAAGCCAGACCTCCCCCCTCCGTGTCCTGCCAAGCCAGCCTGGCACTGGGGGAGGGAGCTGGACTCTGGTCCTGCTGCTGCATCAGCAACGGGATTGTTTACAAAGTTCCAGCAGACTGAACTGGGTCCCTGGGCACAGCCCCTAGCCGCAGGGTTGGGCAGCAGGTCAGGGGTGAGCAAACAGGCCCCAGCTTAGCTCCATGTGCCTTTGGCCCTGCGGGCCCAGGCGCCACTTGGAGCAGGGCTAATTGGAAAGAGTGGCAGCAGTATGTGAACGGGAACAGAGATGTCGCCTCCACAAGGGAGCAGGAGAGACTGGAGCAGGAGGCCCCAGGCCCGGGAGCACCGACCAGGCCGGGGGCTGGACTCCTTCGGAGTCTGGCTCCAGCTCATTGCACAGCCCCCTGCAGCGCACAGCCCCAGCAACTCGCTCACCAGAGCGGGGCCTGCGCTGGTGGTGCAGGGGGGAGGGGGGGGGCGTAGCTGCACAGAACCCTCACCCTCTGCTGCACCCGCTGACTCCTCTCAGCACCCGGGTGATTGGAACTATGAGAGACACCAGCGCACTGGGCAACCAGCCCTGGCAGGGGCCACTCTCCCTGGGCAGCAGGGAGGGGACAGGGCCAGCACCGGCTCCCCACGTCACTGATCATTGCTGGCCATCACTACCCTGCCTCTGGAGTGTGTGCATGTGTCCCCTGCCCTCCCCGGGGCCCAGCTGCTTATGCAAGACCAATGATGACAAGTCCCCAGTGGGGAAGTGGCTCTGCTTCCCACCCCTGAGGAGTTCAGCCAGGCAGTGCCCTTGGCCCTGCTGCCCAGACTGTCCTGAGCCATCACCCTGCCCGGGCTGGAAGGGTCTTTGCTGTGCAGCAGGTCCCGCTGGGTGCTGCCTTAGGCCTGCCCTGCATGGCCGGGTCTCTGCTCCTGTTGTTCCCAGGAGCCCCGGGCACAGCACTGCTGGAGCTGACAGCCTCAGTCCCGGCTATGGACCATTGGCTCTCCATGCTGGAGACAGCCAGTCTGTGCTCCCTGTGCCCAGGAGAGGATCTGCTACTGCTCAGTGGCTCTGGTGGGGTGAGGGCTTGTCCATGGCTCCCTGGCAGCACCGGAGGCGAGGGTGGCTATGCTGCAGGGACACCATCTCCCCTCTTCCAAAGGGGGAGCAGTAGCTGCTGGGGAGCTGCAGTCTGCAGCCCCTGGAGGTGCTCTGCCTGCTCCTGCACTCCTTGCCCCCCCTCCCCAACGTGAGGCCCAGACACATTGCTGAACTCAGCCCCCGGGGCATTACTGGACTCGGCCCCATCCCCTTATGGCAGCAGGCAGCTTCTGGGTGCCCCTGGATCCAGAGGGTAGCAGGGGCGGCTGGGCTGGATTCCCCACAGCAGCAAATGACAATCTCACAAGAGCCAAACAGGAATCGGCACAAACCAGGGCACAAGGAAGACCCCCACGAACACCTGGCCCACACAGCGACATTGCCCCATTTTATTCCCTGCCTCCCTGCACAGAGCACGTTGACGGCCTTCACCCAGGGTGAGCTGGTGCAGACACTGGCCTGCAGCAAGAGCAGTCACATCAAGGCAGCTGGAGAAGCTGGACTAAGGCAGCCCATCCTATGGGGGGATCCAGAACTGCCCGGGAGGAAGGGGATTCTGGAGAGCTGCAGAGCCCAGCCCGTCCGACGGGGTTTCCAATGCAGCACAGCCCCAGAGACAGACTAAAGCTTCCTGGGCAGAGCTGTCCCACAATGGAGCAGGGAGGCAATAGTCCCTCCCTCCACTGTGCCCCCACCTCAAATAGGACAGTGACAGCGGGGGAGGGGTCCAGGAGGAGCCATCAGAACCAGGACCGGCTCCAGGCACCAGCCAATACAAATGGGCGGCAGTCCAGCCAGTCTTGGGACTGCACGTCTGGTCTTCGGCAGGAATTTGGCAGCGGGTCCCTCAGTCCCTCCCTTCCTCTTTGAGCTGCCACCAAAGTTCCGCTGAAGAGGAAAGAGGGAGTGAAGGACCCGCCGCCTAAGAATAGAACAGCGCAATTGAGCTGCTGCCGAAATGCCACCAATCCGCCTTTTTTTTCCCCCTGCTGCATGGGGCGGCAGAAAACCTGGAGCCAGTCCTGATCAGAACAACTCAAGCTCTGGAAAACCTGCCTCTCCGGGGGAAGGCTACAGGAGGCCAATAGATTTAATTTCTTCAAGAGCAGGAAACGAGGTGCCTAGATCCCAGCTACCAGCCCCTCCCTGGGCAGGGATGCCTGGCAGCAGAGGGCTCTGCCATCCAGCAGACAGCGGCTGAGTGAGATCCAACAGGAACGAACTGGCAACGCAGTGCAAGTGTTTGACAGGGAGGGGAACGAGCCCTGGGAACAGCTGGCCTAGGGACATAGGGGCTTTGCCATCCCTAGGAGTCTTTACATGGAGATGGGCTGTCCCTTTGTAACGCTCCCTCCAGCACAGCCGGGAGCTCAGGGCTGGCTGCAGGGAGCTCTGGGGAGGGTCTCTGGCTTGTGTGACTCGGGCAGTCAGATTAGAGGGGCAGAACGGTCCCTCCTGGCCCGACCCACCCTCCATTCAGCTCTGGGCCCCCTGGAACCCTCTCTACAGTAACCCAATGCCAGCTGTCAAGGCCAGAAAAGGCTGCTGGGCCCACGCAGTGCAGAACCCAGGGGAGAGCAGCCAAGGTGGCAGGGAAGGATTGGTTCACCCGGGCAGGAGCGAGTCAGTTGAGCCAAGGGGCCTGCACTCATTATGTACGAGAACACAAGGGGTGGGACCCATGGGGGTGGGGGTTGAGCTGGAACAGAGGGAGATCCAGGTTGGACAGTGCAGACTCCAAGGACCTATTGCTGGGAGACGCCCATTAGCTTCCCAGGCAGATTGTCCCCGCTGGTGCCTTCCCCAGGGCTCTGGTCGGGCTGCTCTGCAAGGCTGCAGGTGACTGGCTCCCAGCCCTGCCCTGGGGAAGATAAGGAAAACCTTCATACCAGCACGATGTCACACTGGGGGTAAGGGACTGGCTGGGAGCCCTTCCCTTGGGATGTTCATAGCTAGCCTGGCCAGGGCCCCAGATAACAGACTGCTGGGGCCAGTCCTGCATAGGTTCCCCAGGGGATAGGCTAGAGCGGCCTAGGTGGTCTCTCCCATCTCTGGCCCCACAGGTTGTGTCTACACTGCAATTAGACACCTGTGACCTGCCCATGTCAGCTGACTCAGGCTGAGGGCTGTAAAACTGCAGTATAAACATTTGGGATCAGGCTGGAGCCCAAGTTCTGGGACCCCACAGGGGGGAGGTCCCAGAGGCCAGGCTCCATCCCCAGCAGGAATATTTACACTGCCATGTAACAGCCCCACAGCCCAAGCCAGCCGACACGGGCCAGCCACAGGTGTGTACGTGCTGTGCAGACACCCTCAGAGTCTCACCACCACCCCCAGGAGCCAGCGTACCTGAGGCTGTTGTGATCGGCTTGAGGTAATCAGGGTGCACCAGGGACAGGACTGGTAGGAAGGGCCCCATCCATGTCACAAAGGCCTGGGATAATGTAGCCACTGTTTGGGACACCGAGCTCAGCCCCTCCTCACCAGGTATGAACTGCAGGAGGGATGGGGCAGAGTTAACAGGGTAGGATTGGGTCCCTCCTAGACTCCAGAGCAAGTCAGTGCACACCAGACAGGGCAGAATCAGATCCTCTGATCGGAGGCAGGACTGGGTCTCCGGACCGCCGCGTGCAATGCCTCACCAAGTGTATCTGTCAAGACCCTCACTCCTGAGCACGGCCGATGTCTGCTATCACAGCACATGGTGACTGGCTATGCCCTTGCCACAGCTACACCAGGTGGGGCCATCCACCAGGGGCTTTATAACCCTCCCTCCTCCACAGCAAAGGCGACCGAGCATGCCTAGGGGCCACTCACCACCAACGCAGGCAGAGCCATTGGGGTGCAGCTGGCTGGGAGGGCTGGCACGGGGCTGGGCCAGGGAGCATGGCAGGGGCCAGTGATGAGCAGAGAGGCTTCTATGGATTGGTTCCCTTAGAGACCCCTGCCACTGGGCAAGTATCTGAGCACCAGAGCCCAGGGCCACCCACCAGGGCACATGCCACACTCAGCCTCAAGCCCTGCCTGGAGAACGCAGTATTTGAGTGTAGGGCACTGGGTGGGAAGGAGGCCATTCACCTGCCCCCCCCACCCACCCTGCATGGTGGCCAGAGCCCCACCTGCCCCACCCAGTGCCAGAGATGGAGCCCAGAGGCCTGCTGTATTGGGGGTGCATTAGAGCCAGCAGCCATTGGAAGGGCCCCATCCACAGCAGGATGGGAGCAGCAGTGTGGCCGATGCCTCTGCCTCCAGCTCAGGCCCTCCTCGTTGGGTCAGGAAGTCTGAGTTCAGATGCTGCTCACTCTGGTGCCAGATGGGACGTGTGCTGAGAACCTGGTGGAGCTGTCCCAGGACCCTCGTCTCCTACCCCTGCTCGGTCCCAGCCCCATTCCCACATGTCTGATGGATGGGCATGACTCCCTGAGTGACCTGCCAGGCCATGCTCCCCTGGCCAGCACCGGCTGGGACCAAAGCCCTTCACCTGAAAGGGAGGGAGAGGCCTGAACCAGCTGGGTCACCTGCCCCCAGCCCTCTCAGGGGCTATTCCACCAGCCCCTCCCTTGGGATGGGCAAGGGTGGCTCCTGCCAGCAAGGATCAAGCCATCTCTCAGTGGCAGCAAGGAGCAAGAGGGGAGAGAAGACACTCACCCCCTCCCCACCCCCACGTGACATGACACCTACCATCCCCAAGTGCCCCAGCAGCCAGTTGCGACGCGGGGGCTCCGGGAAGCAGCGCAGCCGCTGGCAGTTCACATAGTAGCGGTGCCAGGAGCTCCCCAGCTGCAGGAGGGTGCGGAAGAGCAGGGCCAGCAGGGCAAGGAGCAGGGCAGAGACGGTGTAGGCACGGAAGGGGGTCTGCTCCATGCTCAGCAGCTCTAGCACCCAGTCCGTGAGCGGCAGCATCCTGTGGGGAAGAGACAGGGCTGTCACCGGGGGTGAACTGCCACTGGGTCCCTTTGTTACAAGGTGTATGCACGTTACTGAGCTGCTGAGAGGTCGATAAGCTGGAGAGTAGGGATAGGGTCCGGAGTGACCTAGAGAAATTGGAGGATTGGACCAAAAGAAATCTGATGAGGTTCAACAAAGACAAGTGCAGAGTCCCGCACTTAGGAAAGAAGAATCCCATGCACTGCTACAGGCTGGAGACTGACTGGCTAAGCAGCAGTTCTGTAGAAAAGGACCTGGGGATTACAGAGGAGGAGAAGCTGGATATGACTCAGCAGCGTGCCCTTGTTGCCAAGAAGGCTAAAAGCATATTGGGCTGCATTGGTAGGAGCATTATTCCCCTCTATTTGGCACTAGTGAGGCCTCATCTGGAGTATTGCATCCAGTTTTGAGCCCCCCACTACAGAGGGGATGTGGACAAATTGGAGAGAATCCAGCAGAGGGCAATAAAAATGATCAGGGGGCTGGGGCACATGACTTACGAGGAGAGGCTGGGGGAACTTGTTTAGTCTGCAGAAGAGAAGAGTGAGGGGGGATTTGATAGCAGCCTTCAACTACCTGAAGGGGGGTTCCAAAGAGGATGGAGCTCAGCTGTTCTCAGTGGTGACAGATGACAGAACAAGAAGCAATGGTCTCAAGTTGCAGTGGGGGAGGTCTAGGTTGGATATTAGGAAACACTATTTCACTAGGAGGGTGGTGAAGCACTGGAATGGGTTACCTAGGGAGGTGATGGAATCTCCATCCTTAGAGGTTTTTAAGGCCCAGCTTGACAAAACCCTGTCTGGGATGATTTAGTTGGTGTTGGTCCTGCTTTGAGTAGGGGATTGGACTAATCTAATAACTCCAACCCTAATATTCTAGGATTCTATGTGTGAGCCAGGAGAGAACCCAGCCCCTCTAGCCAGCCAATAGCCCTTCCTGCTCCTCACCCACCCTGGCCCCCCCAGTTCCCCCACACAGCCAATAGCCCTTCCTGTTCTCCAGAGGCAATGTTTGTGTGTGGGGGGGTCTCATATCCCCCTCCCCAAGATTCCTGCCAGGGTTTATATCCACTGGAGCCACTGACTCTTCCCCAGGGCTCAGGCCTGGGGTCTGCAAAACTGCCGTGAAGCTTCCCCTGGGCGGGCAGGGCACTTGGCAGCAGGGTGCCAGCTCCCTCGACCCTCGCCATGCTGCAGAATGGCCAGTGCTTGCACCTGCCCTCTGCAGTGCCCACAGCGCCTCTTCCCAGCTCACCTCCGCTGCACAACTGGCTCCTGCTCCCTCCCTTCCCGCCCCCCCCCCCGCACACAGCTGGCTCTAGCCCTTAGTGCCCAGCACCCATCCCCCACCTCCCAGGCACAGCTGGCTCCTTTCCTGCCCTTCCCCCCTGCACACACCCGCTCAGGGCTGCCGCTCAGGGCTGCCGCACAGGGCTGGACCTTGCCCCAGCTGCCTGCAGGCTCAGTGCGGTTCCCTCACAGCTGGAGCCGGGACCCTCCTGCACGCAGCTGGCTCTAAGCTTTTACTCCCAGCGCCTCCAGCTCCTGCCCCCCTTCCCCCATAACAGCTGGTGCTGGGCTCTCCGGGGGGGCACAACAGCCACTCCCCGCCTGCCTTCCCCAAAGCGACTCAGGTGCAGCAGCTGGTCTTCGCAGGCCCTGGCTTCCTTACCTGCCCGGAGCTCCTTGGACACCAGCTGCAGCAGCCTTTCCCCCGGGTCCAGGGCCGGCTCTAGGTTTTTTGCCACCCCAAGCTCAGGCGGCGGTGGGGCTCGCAGGCGGCGCTGGAAGCGGAGGGGGTGATGTCACCTTCTCCCAGTGCCCACAGGGGCTTTACCCCCTCCCGGCTGTGCAGAGAAGCCCCGATAGAAGGGGGGGCACAAGGCAGCGCCGCAGGCAGTGCGCAGATGAGGCGGCGCAGCCCCGGCTCCCCGGCAGGACTCGCCCTCTCCTCCCCAGGGAGCGACTGGGCCCTGGCAGCTCAGCATCCCGGGGCTGGGGCTTCCCCTTCCCGCTGCGCCCGGGGGCATGGCCCCCTTGCCCCATCTAAGTGGCGCAGCTCCGAGAGCGCAAGTGCCCCGAAGAAAACGGATGGCCGGAATGCCACCCCTGGAAACGTGCCGCTGCTCGCTCGGGTCCTAAAGCCTGACAAGTCTGGTGCTGCCAAGGAGGGACTTTCCAAGCTTGTGTCTCAGTGGGCTGTAACCTGAGGCGCAGCTCCCTGCTAGACCGGCCTCCAGCTGCTAGGACAGAGAATCCGAACATGGCATCCAAAGCCGCTCTAGAAACCCAAACTCCTTTGTCTCTGGAATAACTGCCCTGAACCCCGCTGCGTACCACGAGAGCCTTTACATTAGGCCCCCCACCATCAATAGTTATGGGGCACCCCTGCTCCCCACTCCCCCAGCCCTCCCTGCTCCCCCCCAGCCAACAGCCCTCCCGGCTCTGCAGGGAGACCGGGGCATTCGCTTCCGCCAGGATCCCGGCTCATGGGAAGCCCCGGTGACACCCCCGGGGCTGCAGCCGGGCTGGGCTATGCAGAGCCCTGCCCGGGTAGGGGACGAACCAGCCGCTCCACTCACCCAGACCAGACACTGACGCTAGGACTCACGGGCTCAGCTCTGGGCGTGGCCTTTATAGACAGGCGGGGCTGGGCCCCGCGCCAGGTGGGGAGGCGGGGCTGGGTCCGAGAAGGGGCTCGGTTCGGCTCCGCGGGCGATGGGCTCCATTCTGGGACACGATCGCCCCCCACCGGGGGTCCGCGCGGGTCGGGGTGTGGCTTGGAGCGGCCGCAGCCCGGGGCTATCGCTTGGGTTCAGCACAGCAGAGCCCGGCCCGCCAGCTCCAGAGAGCGGGGGCCGCAGGTCACCCTCCAGCCCGCACGGCCTGGGAGACACCTCTGCTCTTGCATCAGCAGCTGACTTGTCTGCCCGGTTCCATCCGGGGGCACCTATGCAGCTGCCCCCTTGCCCCAGCTCTGCCCATAGCGACTCCAGAGGCTGCAGCGCTGTACTGGTGCACCCAGGGGCCCTTGTTTCTCTGGCGAGGGGGCAGGGAGCCCAGCCTGATTCTCAGGGCTGTGCAGCTGGCAGGGAGCGGGAGGGGAAAGCCCAGCCTCCCCCCCACCAGCCAGCATGAATTGGCTCTGCACTGGATGAACCTGGGCCCATCACACAGAGTAGGGTGACCAGATGTCCTGATTTTTATAGGGACAGTTCCGATTTTTGGGTCTTTTTCTTATATAGGCTCCTGTTACCCCCCCCCCACACACACCCCCTGTCCCGATTTTTCACATTTGCTGTCTGGTCACCCTAACACGGAGTCACTGCACAGACCCAAACATGCCTGGGGGAGCCCATCCAGAACAGTTTCAGAGTAGCAGCCGTGTTAGTCTGTATCCGCAAAAAGAAGAACAGGAGGACTTGTGGCACCTTAGAGACTAACAAATATGCATCCGAAGAAGTGGGCTGTAGTCCACGAAAGCTTATGCTCTAATAAATTTGTTAGTCTCTAAGGTGCCACAAGTCCTCCTGTTCTTCTTCATCCAGAACAGTGTCATTTTCAGAAAAAGCCCCGCTAACCAGCTAACCCCCTACTTTACACCCCGTGAACATCTGACACCCACAGCCTGGGATTGCTCTGTTGTGTGTGTGTCTGAAAGCGAAGTTAGGGTGTGTAACAAACTGTAATCCAGGTTGCTCTCAGACCTAATTCAAAGTTAAACAGGCAGTAAGTTAACACACTGTTAATCTTTAACAAACTTATCTCTACTAGCAAACTGACACCAATTATGGTACAGAATAAAAAACTAGCTTGGAACACAGTCATAGCTCCATATTAATAATGGTGCTCGCTGGTCACTGGCGGTGAGTGACCCTGGGCCTCAGCACATACAAGTGTGAGTCTCTTCGGGAGCCAAAGGAGCTTCAGGGGCAGCAGTAGACAGCAACCTCTAGGGCTATGGCTTCACTGCAAAACCAGGTGTGTTTTTACATGGGCCTAGCGCTGATCAAGTACAACCCTAGAGGAGACATGTAGCTAGGTGAGCTCAACCTTAAGTGTGTGCATGGGGGGGCTAGTGTTGACCTCAGCAAGTTACATGAAGATAAAAACTACCTGTGCCTCATCTCCACCAGGGCTCTATAGTGAGATCCAGAGAATTTAAGGCCAGAAGAGACCATTAGACCATCCAGACCTCCACAGGCCCTTACATGTCACTCAGCTACCCCTGCATTGAGCTCAGTAACTTGTGTTGGACTAAAGCATCTCCCAGAAAGGCCTCCAGCCTGGATCTGTAAACATCAAGAAATGGAGAATCCACCACTTCCCCTGGGAGTTTGTTCCAATGGCTAATCCCCCTTTACAGAGCTATCACCCCTGTAGAAACAACTGTTTTGGGTTGTTCACTTACAGTGAAGTTGTAGCCTATGTGTGTCAAAGCTCATGTCCTTGTTCACTTACTCCTGGTCTCATTGGGTTCCAAGGATGTCTGAAAGAAACCTTAACTTCCAGCAAACTATGTGTGGGGCTGGATTTACTTCCAGGACTTTTACAGAAATAACTGAAAACAGCACACAGTAGCTGAAGACAATTGTGAAATTAGCCTAAGAGGTAAGGCACTTTTCTGAGAGGGGAAGCTCCCCAGAAAGGTAATTTTTAAACTTATTTCTTGTTCTTCATGGTTTTGAGCTATATAACAATAACATCTAGCTCTTATATAGCACTTTCCACCAGCAGGTCTCAAAGCACTTTACAAAGGAGGTCAGTCAGTATCATTATTGCCATTTTACAGATGGGGAAACTGAGGCACAGGGCAAGGAAGGGCCTTGCCCAGCATGCCCCAGCAGGCCAGAGCTGGGAATAGAATCCATATCTCCCGAGTTCTTCCCTCCAAGTTCATTTCCTCCAAACCAAGACCCCATCCTGCAGCAGCTGCAGCCCCAGGGGATGCACAATCTGGCGCAGGATCGGGGCCTACAGTTTTTGTCTGGATAATATTATTCTATAGAGTCCTGTGGAAAAGAAAACCCTGCTGCCAACTGAACTCTGGGTCGCTCCAGCTCCACCAAACCAACATGGGATAAGTTCCTTTGGTCCGTCAGGCACTGGTGACTGAATCCTGGGCTGTCCTATGCAATGTAGATGTGAGCTAGAAGAGTGAGTCAGGTTTCCTTTCAGTCACATGACTCTATGTTTAAATGTTTATTTTATTGAGGTAAAAGGTTGGCAAAATATACATATAAGTACACAGCCCCCACATAATCCCTACTGCACCCCAACAAATATTACCTTGCTTTTTCATTATCAAGGATATGATGTTTATGAGAGGGTTGTAAATACTGTTATATTAACCTCACATGTTTCATGATTCTGTCTAGTGATAAGGCAGCATATACTTACCTTGGGGCATGCCACCTTTACCCCATTTCATACTCCAGCCTTGGGATATAAACACCTATGAGCCATCACTGGATTTTTTCTCTCCCTGAAAAATTCAAGCACTTTGCAAACTAATTAAATCAGATATATATTTAATTAATAGATGTTAAGGTCAGATTTAAAGACTCCAAGTGATGGAGACCCCACTATGTCCCTAGATCAGTTGTACTGATGGTTCCTCACTGATAAAAATTTCTAGTCTGATTTTTGTCTCCATTCAGCATGTTTGTTAGATTAAAGAGCCCTGTACCATCAGCAATCTCCTCCATAGAAACAGGATAACAGCGAGCAGCTAAGGGCCGAGTTTCCATGGGAGTTTGTAGGAGATATTTTGAAGCCTTTGCTCTATCGGAACATTACAAGAGTGGACAGCTATTGGGACCTGCACCGGATGTGCCACACTCGCTTCCTGCCTGAAGAGAGAGGAGACTCCATCTGCATGAGGTGTGAGGCTGGTAGCTTGATGGAGGAGAAGGTTTGTGGTCCAGAGAAACAGCTGACCACTTTCCAGAACAGCAGGGTATGGCGAATTTCCTGGATACTCAGATCCAGCCTGCACCACGGCAGATACCACACTGGGAGGGTATGGAGTCCAGTGACCAAGGGAGACAAGAAAACAAAAAAGATGACTGGAAATTTGTCATCTCCAGAGATAGAAGAACCCAAAGGATCTGCTCACAGCTGGAAATATCAAATCGCTGCCAGGTGCTGAGTAAGACATCTGAAGAGAGCAACCTCCAAGAATCAACCAGAGGGAAGGACCTACAGATATCAGAGGAAAGAACTGAGAACTACTGCCAGCTCAGACTAGACAGACCCAGACAAGCCCAAGAGAACATCCACAATTGGCCAAAGAAGACAGACTCTATGCTAAGAAGAATAGACAGGACATTCTGCAATGGGAAGAAGCATGGCAGGACAGCTTGCTGCCTTCTGTGAGCGAAGATGAAGGACACCGCCACCAGAATAAACTAGATTCTGAGGTCAGCAGAGACACCCCTTCTGCAGTGTTCCACAAAGATGCCACCTTAAACATGTTTCCGCAGATCCTGGAACGCTCCTGCACAGGCTGGAGGCAGGGCTTAAAGGGGGAAGCAGAGCATCTCAGAAGGGGGCAGGCAGTGGAAGGGAGCAGACCTGTGCTCTGAACTCTTGGGAAGGGGCATCCCAGGAGCTCTTGCAACCTGAGGCTTGGAGATACTGACCTAACCAAGATGGACTGGGGACTTTTGAAGCTCAGAGACTTTAATTTACCGTGCAGGAACATAAGAACATAAGAACGGCTGTACCAAGTCAGACCAAAGGTCCATCTAGCCCAGTATCCTGTCTACCAACAGTGGCCAATGCCAGGTGCCCCAGAGGGAGTGAACCTAACAGGCAATGATCAAGTGATCTCTCTCCTGCCATCCATCTCCACCCTCTGACAACCAGAGGCTAGGGACACCATTCCTTACCCATCCTGGCTAATAGCCATTGATGGACTTAACCACGATGAATTTATCCAGTTCTCTTTTAAAC